GTTATGTCACTTGTAAATTGACAAATGACATAATGTAAATTTCCTTTGCTCCCATTAAAAACAAATTTACCTTTTATTTTGAATTCATTTTATTTACAGAAATGTTACAAAACTAGTACAGAGAACTCTTGTATGTCTGTCACCAAACTTCTGATGTTAGCATTTTATACAATAGCAGTACAATGATCACAACCAATTAAATAGTATTATAAGACTGTTAGCTGAATTTTGGACTTTATGAGAATTTCATCAACTTTCCCACTAATGTCTTTTCTGGGGCCCAGGATCTATCCTGGATACTATGTTATATTTGTTGTCATGTTTCCCTATAGTCTTGGCTTTTTGGAGGGGAAGGGGGAGTCATATACCAAATCCTGTAAGACTGATCATTATAATTACCACAGCCCCCAAGATGGTAGTAGGTTTTATTTTATGTGCTAACTCCATGTGACTGGAGGAACTTCCAGGAAGTGTTAGGTTAAGCAGAGTTCAGATGACCCATCTGTCTTAACAGAAAAGGTTGCTGCCAGCTTTCTGTTCTGTACCACAGCCTGTCAAATTTTCCTGGCCAATAGTAAGATGTAAGAGGCAAAAGTGAAGGATGTCACTGTCACCTTGGTTCTAAACTAGGAAGGGGGGTACTTTCTTTTCCTAGTTAGTGACCTCTCTGGCAGCAATGCTAGAAAGTAAATCCATTTTGAGATTTTAATACCAGGGAAAGCTAGCTTGCTGTTTTCTCCTATATGTTTCTTTATAATCATACTTAAGTTGTATATGTGTCTGCTATATTTAAGAAACACACTTTTGATTTTGGAAGCTTTTTAAAATTGTAACATATAACACAGAAATTAAACAAAACATAGTTTAGTGAGTTACTTATTGTAAAACCATCACCTGCTTAGCTAATAAGCATCTCAAGAAACAGAGCTTTGCCAACACTCCCAGAAACCCTTTCTTCTGCTTTTTCCCAGTGGCATTGTTATTCTGTCAGTGTTACACTATAGTTTTGTCCATTTTTTAATTTTATATAAATGAAACTACATGAATACATTGTGCCTCACTTCTGTACAATGCACAAGCACCTAGATTTTGATTAAAGTTACCTTTATTTTCTGTATCTATTTGAGAGAACTGGCATCTTAACAATATTAGGGGCTTTTCATCCTTGAACCCAAATTATCTCTCTGTTTATTTATGTCTTCTTTAATCTCTGTCAGCTGTGTTTTGTTGTTTTTCATGTTTAGATTTTGCACATATTTTCTTTAATTTTCCACTAAGTATTTCATGATAATTGACTCTACTGTAAATTATTTTTCCTATTGTTTGTTGCTATTAGGATTATCATTTGTTTTACTATAATTTTAACCTCTTATTTCCCTCAGTATTGGTAGAAATACTGGTATGAATTTAAAAGCAATAGCTGTAATTGTTTATTGAAAGAGGTTACCAATGAGCTGATTTTGGGAATGAGGTGGTATAGGGACAAATACAGCCTGTGGACATTTAATGTATATTTAATATATAAAATGGTACTATGTATTTTGTTTTATAAGTATTTTATTTATACTTGATATAATTTGTGACACTGTTTTGTTCATATGTATTCATGGTGTTAGGTATGATAAAAAAATTTAAAAAATTTTTGGATTCATGTTTGAAAGTTGATAATATTTTATTTATTTCCTGGTTAGGAAATACTTACAAAACAGCTGGCAAATAAAGATAGTGACCTTCAAAAGTGGCGAGAAGAACGAGATCAGTTGGTTGAGGCTTTGGAAATACAAATGAAAGCACTGATCTCCAGGAACACCCAGAAAGATAAAGAAATTGAACAGTTAAAAAAGATCACATCAGAGCCTTCTGAAACAGTCAGTAGAATCTTGTTCTTTCTATGCCATTTTAATTGAATATAGAGATTTTCCAAAATTTTTTAATTGAAGAATAAAAAAGTAAGTCTCGGTAGACTAAGAAGAATCAGAGTTTGAAAAAAATTTGGATATTTCTCATGAGTTTTGAACTTTCAGAGCTTATCATTATGATTGACTTGTCAGTGACTCAGATGTAAAACTTTCTTCAATATGTTGGTTATATCTCCCAAGTAGATTAACTAGAAAATCAACAGTTTATGATTTAGTCCCTAATTTACCTTTAAAATGTAGAAATGTGATGCAGCATGAACTCTTAGTTGTATTTGAATTCTTGGACCCACCCTTAAGTTTATTGTATAAAGATACAAACTATTTTGAAAGCAAGCCCCATGGCAGGGCCACATCATGAGTCATTTATTTAGCAGTCAATAAATATTATTTTCTTTTTTTGAGACAGAGTCCCAACCTGTTGCCCTAGGTAGAGGGCCGTGGTGTCACAGCTCACAGTAATCGCAAACTCTTGGGCTTAGTGATTCTCTTGCCTCAGCTTCCCAAGTAGCTGGGACTACAGGCACCCACCACAACACCCAGCTGTTTTTTGGTTGTAGTTGTTATTGTTCTTTGGCAGGCTCAGGCTGGATTTGAACCCACCAGCTCCAGTGTATGTGGCTGGCACCCCTGCTGCTTGATCTATAGGCACTGAGCCAATAAATAGTATTTTTGTAATAATAATTTAGGATTGGAAATCCTAAATGAAGACAGGATTGCCTTTCACAGATTGCTGCTTCCCAGTAGATTGAATTCAGGTGCATCTGAAACTAGTCTTTCTGGGATAAATTATCTATACTTAAAAATTTGCTGCTCTAGAGCTTTCAGACAAGAGGAAGAATGTGTGTGTGTGTGTGTGTGTGTGTGTGTGACATTAAGAGACTACATGGGCCCAGTGCCTGTGGCTCAAGTGGCTAAGGCGCCAGCCACATACACCTAAGGTGGCGGGTTCGAATCCAGCCCGGGCCCGCCAAACAACAATGAC